GTGCCGCCCCGGCTTCCAGAAGGATCCCGCCGTGGGGGGTGGGGGCGCTTTCCCAGGGACCGAGCGACGCCTCTGCGGCCCCAGCCCCGGCCTGGGGTGGGTAGGGGGAGGATGCCGTCCCCACAGCCCGGGGGAGGGGGCACACAGACAGCTTTTCGCTCCAGAGCCGCCCCTGTTCTCCCCTCCGGGGCAGGTGGCTCTGGCGATAAAGCTGAGCCATCTTGCGCCATCATCATTATGCCTCAGTCACCGGTGGCAGGAGGGAGCAGTGGGCGCCCCAGCTGGGGCTTTCGCCCCGGGGGGGGTGTGGCTGGCGAAGGCACTGCAAAGCCGAGCCCCCTGCTTGCCCCACAAGGGTGAGCTGCTGCTGCTGCTGACCTTGTGCTCGAGGGCAGCTGGGCAAGGGCTACCATGTCACTGCAGGCCAGCGCTGATGGCCAGAGGAGGGGTTGGTCCCCGGACAGAGGGGCTGGGGCAGAGCCCCACGTTTGGCCACCCTGGCTCCCAGGGAGCAGCCCTGCACCTGCCCCATTGCGTTCCTCCTCCCCCATGGGGCAGCTTTCTTCCCCGGACCCCGCAGACGCCTTTGTGCCAGGGGCTCCTGCCTGTTTAGATCCCACGCCTCGGCTGCGAGGCTTGGGGAGGACTCCCCTGCCACTTCACGGCTGTCATGCCCACTGCCCAGAGCAGCTAAGCAGCCCCTTGGCAGGTGGCCTTGATGGCATGGGGAGCATGGAAGGCAGCAGACCCCCCCCTAGGGTACGGCCGGGGGTGTTGTGGGCTTTGCTGTCCCTACACGCTGATGCTGACCTCCATCTTGTCTGGGAGGTGGCAGCTGGTGCTGGCACAGATGCTGCTGCCACCCCCCTGCCTCCTTGCATGTGACTAGAGCTGCAGCCCCAAACCCCCGGGGGTGTCAGAACCTGATGTTACCCCCTGACCCCCAGCTGCCCACCCCTCTCCGTGCCCAGCCCTGCTGGTAACCCGCCAGAGCTCGCTGGCTTTTCTACACAGCTTTTTCCCATTGTGGGTTTTAGGGTGCAGATGAGAGGATGAAAAGAGCGGGTGATTGAGTGTGAGGTGACTTGCCTTTGCAACACAGATAGGGAGCTGGCCAGGAATGAGCAAAACCCCTCATTCATGGCCTTAAATTTGCTACCTGCAAATTTAATCTGCATGAAAGTTCCTGGGGAAGCTGCAAATGCTGCCCTGAAGCCGTGTCCCCGTTGGGGTGACACTGGATTTCTGCTGGGAATGGGGAGGCACCTGCCCCTGCCCTGGGCTGTCCTCCAAGCTGCTTCCCCACCCGTGGGTGCTGCTCCAGGGAAAACTGCACTGTCACGGCCCCGCATGCTGCGCAGAGCGGGAGGTGAGCGGGGAGCGGCCTCTGGGCTCGGTTTGCAGGCGCTGATGGTGCCGTGTCATCTGGACCAGCCGCCCCCCAGTGTCTCCCAGTGTCCCTGTTGTCCCCAGAGGGAGGGCAGGGTCCTGCGGTCCCAGATGGATCTGGGGAGCCCCAAAGAGGGGTGCAGGGGAAGGGCTCATTAAAACAAAGCCTGTGGGTAGCTGAGAGCACCATGGCTTGGGAGGTGCAGGCAGGCAGGGCAGCTGCCCTTGCCGCCGGGATGATGTGGGGATGCAGTGCAGACAAAAGGAGAAACTTGCTTTGGATTTCCCTCTATGCAGGCAGCTCTTCATTTGCCAGGCACAGGGAATGGGGCATCCTGGCCGTGCAGACCTGCATTAGCATCACACGAACCCCAGTGTCCTGCAGCACCCAGGGGACAGGCAGCACAGCGTGTCCCCGCAGCATCCTTAGGGGAAGAGTTTGCTGTGGGTGGCACATGGGGACAATGCTTCCCGTCCTGCTGGTCACCTCTCAGCAGTAGCAGGAGGGCTGCCATTTGGTAGCCCTCGGATTTAAGAGCTCTTGTTAGCTAATCTCTGCCCAATTAATCTTAGCTGATGCAGTTATTCATCACTCTCTAGGCCTTTCATTCATCACCAGGGCTGGCAGGTGCACCAGTAGGGATGGGCAGAGCGCACCAGGCTGGGGGAAGAGATGCCTGGCAGAGTTGGGGGACGGATCTGGATGTGCCCCCTGGCACCATGGCCCCGGGGACTCTGCTGTCGTCCTCCGCTGTGTCCCTTGTGCCGGAGGTGGCCCCAGGAGGTGGCAGGGAGAATGCAGGGAGTGTGGCGGCGGGGCTGGCCTGCTCCCAGTGAAAGGCTGATAGCGGCTTATTGAATTTCTCTCGATGGCGGATTAAGTAGACGGTGGCTGACTGTCCCCAGGCAGAGCAAGCTGACCCGCCTGCCCTGGGGTAGGCTGCCTGCCCCCGTCCTGCCTGCCCACAGCCTGCCTGTTGCAATGTGTCCCGTCTCTCTGGGGGATGCCGAGCGCCTGTGGCCAGAGAAGCTGGTGGTGCTGCCACGTTACATGGGCTGCAGGCTGGATTCCTCCCTGTAGCTGAGCCAGGAAGATTAAGAGTTGGGGTAAGGAGAGCAGGCTTGGGAGGGAGGTGGGCAGAGGGCTGCTGGTGCTGCCCAGGGGGGCACAGCACTGCCTGTGGTCCTTGCACCGCTGTGGCAGAGATGGGACTAGAATGCTGCAGAGGAGCAGGAGGGAGGTGGTGTGTTGCCAACCAAGAAAGATGAAGAAAATGGATGGAGACAGAAAATGGAGCTGAGCATGCAGCTCTGCAGCCTGGAATATCAGCAGGGAGAGGAGCCTGTGCCACTGGGCTAGGTGAGCCAGATAGCTTTCTGGGAAGATGCTGGGATGTGGGCATCAGGATGGCAGGGCAGGGAGGGTCCTGCTGGTGAGGAGGGGGCTTCTTAGGGCCAGCAAGGGCAGGCTGGAGAGGTGCTGGTGTGGGGTGAGCAGCCACCAACGGAGGGCACGCAGCAAGACAAGGCACCTGAAAAAGTGGGACAAAGAAGAAATGGGATCTGCTTTGCAGGAAGTGATAGGTCTGAAGGGAGCTGTGATGGGAACAGTGTGGGAGTGAGAGGGAATGAGGGCAGAGGCTGAAGCTGCCCATGGTGGGCAGTGGTCAGTCCCAGGGCTGGTGGGTCGCTGACAGGTGGGCTCACCGTTCTGCTGCCCGTGGTTGCCGCAAGGGTGAGAGCCTGGGGACCTGACCCACCTCTTCGTAGCTCTGGGAGCTGGAGAGACTGCAAAGCAGGTGGGGAAGAGAGCTGTCCTGGCCGTGGAAGGAGGAGAAGGAAGCATTTGATGCAGGCAGGCAGTTGTTGGGTGCTGCGTGGGGTTTAGCCCAGCAAGCCCTTTAGCCCAGGGTCCATTGTCCCTGAGCACCAGTGGTGCCACAGGGTGGAGCAGCTCGAGCCGACGGCCTCGTGAGGATGCTGCCGTTCCACCCAGGAATACAGTGCATTGTTTCCTCGGAAAACCACCTTTTTCATTCCTCCTTGGCAAGGAGTCCTGTTTAATTTTTCCTTTTTCCCCACATCTGAGAAAGCAGCAGAGTGGGGAAAACAGAGGCCCTTCGGTATGCAACAGCCTGCTCGATGGCTCAGAGACTCAGCGGTGTTGTTAAATGCCCACTTAAAATAATCCACGCTCAAGAAAGCCTGAGACCAAATGTTTGAACTCTGAAGCTGGTGGTATTTAAGGGTGTGATCGCTGGCAGAGCTCCGGAGCCGTCCCAGTAGGGCAGTGAGGGGAAGGTTTGGGAACTCCAGTGGGAGATTCGTCCTCCTTCTCTGTCAGGGATGCAGGCTCACTTTTAAAACAGGCAAGGCATTTTTGAAAGACAGCCCTGAGCTTATAATACTTTCTGGCTGCAAATTTTTCCATTGCACCATGAATATACCTGCCTTTGGGCAGAGCATATGTTGGTTTTCTTCCCGTCCCCTCTGGAAATGAAAGCTGTCAAACCTCAGTTAATTTTAAAGCCATCCCCTTCTCTTGGGACACTTTCCGTTCTGTGGATTTTTTTTTCTTCCTCCTTTCCTACAAATTCACCTGTACTTTAACTTCCACCATGGGAAAACCCATCTTGTGTTGAGGACCGATCCTTACCGCTCCACTTCCCTTGGGTCCTGGTCCACATAACCAGAGCTATGCCATTGCTCACTCCTGATCTCCTTCATCCCAGAGCAAGCATCCCACTGGCAAAGACCAGGCTCAGAAAGCCCCAGGGCTTTTGCAAACATCTTTGCAGGATCCTGCAGGCAGAGTTGCCAGAGGAGCTGGTGCCTCCCCATGCTGTGAGGTGATGGGTTCCTCCTCCACTGGCAGGTTCAGCATGGGGAGCCAGGGAGCAGGGCACAGTCAGGAGACGGGGTGGACATTAGAAAGCAGGAATGGATTTGGTCAGGGCTTATCCCGAAGGACCCAGTGGTCAAGGGAAGGACCCCAGCATCCTTTTCTGACCAATGGTAGCGAGGCTTAACTGGGACTCAGGGAAGGTGGGACTGGCTGCAGAGAGCCCAGACACCAGCCCTGGATGAGTTGCTGCTCTGGGAGATGTTAGAGAGGTTTGTTTCATCTTGTGAGGTTTGTGATTAATAATTTATTAGCAAAAGGAGTGGTAAAATGATTGTGAGCTGGGAGCTTCAGTTGAGTGTAATCACTGGCTTGCTGGCTGGTGCTGCTCCTGCTGATGCTGTGTATCTGCTTTTGCTGGGAGCTGAATGAGAGGCAAATACCAGGGGTTGTGTTCAACAGCCACCTCCTTTCTCCACATGAATGCCATCGTTTTCCTCCCCCTCTCCACCCCGTCTTGCTGCCCAGCCCCTGGTCTGCTAGGGCTGTAGTGGAGGCAGGAGGCTTGGGTGATGAGCAGGGGGTTGTGGGCTTGCTGGCAGGTGAGAGGCTACCTGCTCAGTGCCATGGGCACCCCGGGATGGAAAAACTGCTCCTTGAGAGTCATGTCAATGCTGACAGTGCCTACATGGTCCTGTCCCCTGCTGTGGGTGCCTGCTGAGTGATGATGCAGGGTGGTGGAGGTGCTGGGTGCTGCCCTGGGTTAAAGGCAGGGATATCCCCAGGACTGAGCAGCGGTTCCTGACCTGGATACAAGGGGGAGAGAGTAGAGGCAAAACGTGAGTAATTGGAGGAATGAAACAAAATGTCGTCTTTCGGGCAGAGGCGTTCCTGGGAGGAACGGCCTGTTGCATGGGCTTTCTGCTCATTTTTCCAGCAAGGCAATGAGTTGGGGATTGGGATGAGAGCATTCCTAACTCCCTTTTCTTCCCTCCTTGCAGGACAGCCGCTGCTCCCCGCTAGCAGGACCCACCTCCGGCCGGCGCAATGGCGGGAGCATCTGTGAAGGTGGCGGTGCGTGTCCGGCCCTTCAACTCCCGGGAGATGAGCCGGGAATCTAAATGCATTATCCAGATGTCGGGAAGCACCACCAGTGAGTGCCAGTGTCAGGGGCAGAGAGGTTTGGGAAGACTTTGGGTGCTGCGTGGGGAGGAGGGCATGTGGTCCGACTGCAGCAGCAGGCTGCTGGGATCTTTGGTGTGGCTGCTTGTAGCACCTGGCATCCTTTGGAGGAGGGAATCTGGGGGGAGATGTCACCTTCCCACAGGGAAATGCAGTCCTGTTGTGAAACAGCAGTGGTGGGATCTATGTGGCACCAAGCCCTTGGGTTTTGGTGATAATGGGGCAGCATCCACCACAGGCAGTAGGGGAGGAGGAATCAGAAGAGCCTGGAAGCGCTGGTGCATGGATGTGGGGTCGAGGGTGTCTGGCTTGCGGTTGCCTGCCAAAGCACAGAAGCTGTGCACTGTCCAGTGAGCATCAACTGACAGCACTGCCTATCTGGGTACCACCCACCATGGTGTGCTGGGGCTCATCCCTGCTTCCGCAGGGCTCGGGGCTGCAACACCCAGGCATGGAGGGGCAGGACTGGGGTTTGATGAGGGAACAATGTGCTCAGATGAGGGGGATGTAGCATGGGGGCTTGGGGCCAACTGTCCCATCAGGAGCCCTTCTGGCATTCGCCCCTCCTTAAATAATGGCTGCTGGAAGTATGGGGTGGGAAATCCCTCCTCTTTGGCTCTGAAAGCCTCCAGATGGGACAGCATCTAAAATAACTCCCTCCCTGCCTGCCTGCCTGGGGCTTCCTGTGTCACTGGTGACGGTGAGTGAAGCACCAGTGCCATCCGTGGGAGGGTGAGGGGGGACCAAAGGCTGCACGGTGGCTCTCTGACCCCGCCAGGTCCCCTGCTCACCCTGGGGAGGAGGGGAGCCGGAATGGCGGGGCTATGGGGCTGTGTCCGCCAGTCTCTGGCATGCTGGGGAGCTCTCCCTGCCTGGCTGTGCGGGGCTGCTCTGTCTGCTGGGGGTGCAGAGCTGCTCCCCTCATGACAAGGAAGCCTTGCTGGCGCAGCAGGAGCTGCAGGAGTGCCTGGGCCTGGGGGCAGGCAGGGGAGATTTCCCTGCTGGCCCTGATTGGTTGGGGGGACCTGCCATACCCCAGGCCCAGTTTGAAGCATCGGGCATCCCCCACCTGTGCCGTGGCTGTGATTGCTCAGAGCAATCTGCCCATGCTCGTTCTTCGACACCCAGCCCTGCCGCCTGCAACCCCCCAGGCCCCTTGTCCCCCTGCCCGCACTGGGGAGGGGGAGCAGAGCTGTGGACAGGGGCGGGGGCAGCGTCCCAGCCAGCCCGTTGCTGACGGGGAGGTTTTTCTCCATGAATGGACAAACCATCAGCTAATCCCCTCAGCTGGGGGGGCCAAGGGACAGGCGCCTGTGGGGCTCTGGTGCCTGCTTCTCCTGGTAGCCGGGGGAGGCAGGAGGAGAACAGTAGTGCTGCCTGCCCCCCTGCAGAGCAGGACTGTCTTGGTCCCCTGACTTCCCACAGAGAAGCCAAAAATAAATGTGTTTGGGGGATGAGAGCAAGTTTCCTCCTTCCCAGGATTATTTGTAGGGACACCTCTGTGTGCTGGGGCAGGGGATGTTGTTCTTCTGACCTAATTCATTAAGCCCCATGGAGGGCAGCAGGGGCTGGGGACCAGGAAGGGGTCAGCCCTTCTCTGCCACCCTTTTCCCCCTAGCGTTACAGCCACTGCCCTTTTGGCTGCCTGAGCTGTGGCCACCCACCTGCTCGCCAGCGCTGCTGCTTTGTTCCCGTGGCATCCACCCTCTGCATGGACACCAACACCCCTGGCCACTCTCCTGGCAGCTCCCACCAGGATGGCGAGGAAGGGACCCTGGCTTTCATCCTGCAAGGCTGTTAATATTCTCTGGCTGGAGCCATGCCTCCGTGGGCTTTCAAATACAGTGATTATTTTCTCTCCTGTGGGTCTTGGGTTTTATACTGCTTGGTGCTTGCCCACTTGCTACGCTCTGCCATGCCACTGGCCCTTCAGGGTGAAGATGAGGGTCATCTCCAGATGTTTTCTTCTTCCCCCTGTCTGTATGACTGTGTCTTCCCCCACCCCACCCCCATTTTTTAATCCCCTTTGGCCAGAGCATGAATTTTTTGCAGCAGCTTTGCAAAAGCCCTGGGATGCTTTGTCACAGGAGAGGAAAAAATCCACTGGTGGCACCCAGCCACGTGGAGGCAAATAAATGGGAACTAAAGGGGCATGGGGAGAGCATTTTGGCTTGGGGATGGGAGACCTGCTGCTTGTGGTGTGCTCCCTTCTGCCTTGTGTCCTGGTCCCCGGCCTGCCAGGCCAGCTGGGAGCTGCAGCTGGGATGCTTGGAGCTGCTCGGTGCCATCCCTGGCTTCTCCGCCCTGTGCCCAGCATGGGCTGGCACTGGGGTGCAGAACAGCTGTCTTGTGTGGCCCCATCCTGCCTGCTCCTGCTTTTGCCTCCTTTGGACTAATTTTTTGGGGTGGTCCCATTTGCTCTGACGAGGGTCACCTCTGCAGAACAGAGACAGACCCAAGCTGAGCACGGGGTGTGCTGGGTGGCATGGCAGAGCTGCCAGATGAACCCCAAGAGCCATTGGAGATGCTCATCCCTACTTTTGCATGGCCTCTGCACCCCGTTTTCTTTGCAACAGCCACTCACATGCCCTTAACACACCAACCGGGCACCAGCAGGGATGGGCAGCCCCTGTGGCGGCCTGTGCTGCCCAGAAAGGCCTGGTGCTGTTTTGGTCTGGATCTCAGTGGGGACCCCACTGTGGCATGGGCAGTTGCTACGGAGATGTCACTTCTCAGCCTTTTCTCCTGAGAGAGCAGCTCTGGTAATTAGTCTGCTCAGGATGCGGGAGGCATCCAGAGCATCTGAGTCACGCTGCTGCCAGTGGGCAGGCAGGCAGGCAGGGAGCCAGTGCCCAGTCCCTCTTTTTGGTGCTGGAGCTGAGCTCCTGCATCCAAGCAGCACCACGCTGCAGTTTAACAGTTGGAGCTGGATCTGGACCCCACTTCCCACCTTCCACCTGCCTGCTTTGCTGCCTTTGCAGGCAGGGATGGATGGGGCTCAGGCCAGAAGTGGCAGATCCTCTTGGGGGAGAATCTGTTGTGGCAATGGAGGAGGAATTTGGAGCAGAAGGCATCTGTATCATAACACCACACACTGGGGCACCTCTGACTTCACAGCGCTCGGGCTGCACCATGTCTGCGTCTGCTAGGGAAGGTTCCAGCTTGGATCCTGAGCTGAACGTGAGCCCTGTCTAAGCACCAGCCTCAGGGCAGGGCAGGTTGGGGCTGTGGTGGAGATTGCTCGGTGCTGTACAGTTTTGTCATCCCTGGTGGTGGTGGTGAGCAGCTGGGGGCTGTGGGCATGGGAGCTCCGCTGTGCCGGCCCACAAGGTCATTTCAATGTCGCCTAACATGGCTGACAGCTGAATCTCGTGGTTACCCTGCTGGTTTGGGTTTCTTCCGACGCATCTGTTGTTTCAGAAAAAAATTCATCGTAAATGCTCTACAGGGGGGAAAAAAAAGGCAGCGAGCGAGAAAAAATGATGCAGTCTCCAATTTCCATGGCAACGTCCTTTTCACCAGGGGATGGGAAAAAGCAGGCTCTTGTTTCCACTGGTGGTGTGACACAAGGCATTAATCACCCTGCTGGGGCTGAGTACCCAAAAGAAAGTGCAGGGGAGGGGTGGCAGGAGCTGGAGGAGGCCAATGGGGCCGTGGGTGCTCCCACCCCCCAGCACTGAGGCATGTGGCTTTGGGCACGGTCCCCCCCAGCAGCCGTTTCCCCCACAACGTGCCCAGCAGGATGTTTGGGCAAGGCTCTGCCCTGCTCCCTGTGCTGGTTCAGGCTCCACTGCCTGTGGCACCCACCTTCTCTGCTGGGGCCTGGGGGCTTCAGCATCTGTGGAGCTGGAGGGTCTTGGACCCGCTTTCCAGGACCATTTCAGACTGAACCTCATCACCCTTTCTCCCCTCACAAGTGGGATGCCGGTGGCAGAGGTACCATGGGTGGACGGGTGACCTCATGTTCCTATCTGTTTTCCCCCAGCTATCCTGAACCCAAAACAGCCCAAAGAGACACCAAAAAGCTTCAGCTTTGACTATTCCTACTGGTCCCACACCACGGTAAGTGGTAGGAGGCCTGAGCCTGCCTGGAGCGCTGGGCTGTGCTGGGGAGAGGCAGAAGGACCTTCTTGCCAAATTTCTTATTGTCCCCCTCCTTTCTCCAGCCTGCAGACATCAACTATGCATCTCAGAAGCAAGTGTACTGCGACATTGGTGAGGAGATGTTGCAACATGCCTTCGAAGGCTATAACGTCTGCATCTTCGCTTATGGGCAGACGGGGGCTGGAAAATCCTACACCATGATGGGGAAACAGGAGAAGGACCAGCAAGGCATCATCCCACAGGTACCTCCTGGTGAAAAGCTGCCTCTTCCCCTGGTCCCAGCGGGAAGCTCAAAGGAAAAGTGATGAGGGGAGCAGGGCAGGAGCGGGGCTAGGCTTTGCCAAGGTCTACCACAGCCCTGCCGTGACATCAAGCTGGCATGGCTCTGCCAGAGGGCAGAGTGACAAGGAGGGCCATGCCAGACTCCTTGGAGACTGGATGAATTGTGATCTGGCCATATGAAGCCAGTGTTTATGAGCAGCAGTAGTCCAAGTGCTGTGCTTGCCAAAAGCTGCTGTGTGCTGGCCGAGCAGGGTGCTGGGGTGCTCTGGGGAGGCTGAGCCCCCCATATCAGCAGGGGGGGTTCTGCTAGCTCCCCAGGAGCCATCCCAGCATGCAGGAGCAATCTTTTTTGGGGTGATAAGGTAGAAATCCCTGTGGCCTGGGCACCCTGGGCAGGATCATCCTTCTGGTGGAGGGGCTGAGCAGCCTGGCTCTTCTCTCCGCAGCTGTGCGAGGACCTCTTCTCCCGCATCAACGACACGACGAATGACAATATGTCCTACTCCGTGGAGGTAGGCACCCTATTGCCTACATAGTCTGGCTCCAGCTCCCCACCTAGCTCTCTCAGCCCTTTGGGGGGTCCTGTCCCTCAGTGTGGGGTGGGTGGG